AATGAGCTATCATTTCACATCAACTAGATTAGCAAATATTTTTAAGTCTGATAATTCCAAATACTAGTGAAAATGTGACTCAACAGGACAAATAAACTATGAAATATTTGTACAACGGACTATGACACAATAGTGAAAATGAACTGCAGCTATACATACCATCATGAATGGATTTCAAAAACATAATATTGAATAAAAGAAACAAATGACAGAAGATTTCACTTACAGATAGTTCAAAAACAGGCAAGTCTAAACTTTATATTGTTTAGAAATACATGTAAATGTGGTAAGATTATAAAAAGAAAGGCAAGGAAATAACATAAAATTCAAGATAGTGGTTACCCCTCAGGGAGAGCATTTGGAGAAGGGTATACAGGAATCTTTAAAGGTAATGATATTATTTTTTTTAAGTTGGGTAATAAGTACATGAACATTTATTCTTTTTTTTTAAACTGTGAATATATATTACATATGCTGTATTCCTTCATATGTATATTTTATAACTTTAAAATGTTTAAATTACATGACTAGAAATAGCTTCTTTGGTAAAAGATTTTCTCAATTAGATAGTAGCCTTACATTTACTGAAATCTCTGGGAGAAAAAAATTTTCCTAGGCAGAGAAAAGAAGTTGAGATATAGCACTATTGTAATTTTTCTCATAACAAGGAATTAATGATCATTCATAGGCTGCAAGAAGGCCCTTTAACAGCAGAAAGAAAAATTCTTATCTGCTGCCTACCCTCTGGAACCTATTACCTAAAGACATCTTTTTTACCCACTAAGGATATATAAATAACAAATGAATAAATCAAAACTTTGTACTAAATGTGATTCGAGATATTTTGATGTGATTTTTTTCAAGCAGAAATCTCATTTACATTGTTACACAAATGAACAGTTGCAGCAGACAACTCAGATAGATCTAGGATAACTGGTCGTCTGTAGTTAAAACAGACAGACAAGTAGCCACAGGGATGGAAATGGACCTTACAGCCTCTATAGGGAGTTCCCTTTGCAAGGTAAACATATTGGTCAATAATCTACCAAAACAACATAAAAGCATCCATGATGTGTTACTAACCCCCATCTATTCTGTTTTATACAGTACCAATGGCCTCTGCACTATGATATGATATAGCATACACTTAGTGGGCACAGCAACATTAACTGATCAGAAAGACTGCTGGTCAATCGAACGATAGTTTCATGCTGAGTATTTGGGACAGATAAAAGTTGCTTCTCTGTTAACGTAACGTCATTCTTACAATGCATCCACTGTTGCTTACAATGCAACCACTGTTGCTTAAAGTGAACAACAATTTCCATCTAGGTGTCAGAAGGCTGTAATTCTTACAAATGCCAGATCATTTGTACAGAATATCAAAACCACATGTTCAAGACCAAAATAATATGAATGAGAAGTCTTATGTTATCAAATATGAGAAAGTGGAACACTACGATAAATCAGGAAAAGGCTGCAACTTCTGTTACTCAATATGAAACCTGTTTCTGAGTAACAATAAGAAACAGAAAACCACTGCTCCTAATAGTACTCTCTTGTACTATAGAAAGATATAAGCCTCTACAGAAGGGTTACACGCACCGATCCCCGATTTCTTGCAAGCTGGCTTGTAACATCATCATCAATTCTTTGAATGGCATCCATTTTGGCACATAGACTGGAACCTCTTCTTGATATTTCTTGTTCATGCTTTCTTCAGAAAAAGGTGCAAATATTTGGGGTCCTTCATCCACTACTGTTTTGCATAAGGAATACAATCTATCGCCATCTTCAGTAGAGATGTCCTGGATTTTGTGCAAAGGAAACACAACAGAATACAATTGGGGGCCAGCTTAGTAGTGGGGAAAGGGCAGCAGATGTTTGATGCATGTTGTCCAGGTGCGTCAGCTACAGCAATATGTTTTCCAACCAATTTAGTACACATTACTAGACACAAGCTTTTTTTTTTTTTTTTAGAGACACTGTCGCACAGGCTAGAGTGCAGTGGCCTGATCATAGCTCACCATAACCTCAAATTCCCAGGCTCAGGCAATCTTCCTCCCTCAGCTTCCCAAGTAACTGAGACTACAGGCATGAGCCAAAATGCTCGGCTAAATTTTTTTTTTTTTTAATTTTTTGTAGAGATGGAGTCTCACTGTGTTGCCCAGGCTCATTTCAAACTTTTGGCCCCAAGCAATCCTCCTGCCTTGGCCTCCCAAAGTGCTGGGATTACAGGTGTGAGCCACTGCATCCGGCCTGGACACTAGATTTCATCAGTTCTCTGACAATACTCCTAATGCTAGAATGACACAAAATATGTTTCAACAGATTGTCAGTAATTTAGTTTGGCCACATGAAAGAGCCAATTTCTCCAGCAGAATATGGCACAGCTTGTTGCAAAGCAGGGGATGTTATTACAAATAAGGGTTTAGACAATCTATGCTTTAGAGGCATCAGCTGGCCAAGTCCAGACAATTTTCCTTTAGGATCAGACGTATAATCTCAACTGCAACAATATGTTGGAAAAATGGTACCAGCACAACATTGCATTCGCTTTACTAAATTATTGAGTTCACTTGCAAATTAAATGACTTCTCACTACATGCCTCAGGACCACTGCCCAGTTTCTAACTTCCTCATTCATAATTTACAGATGCTAGGTTGAGAAGCAGTGCAATACTACTTTCTTGTAGATATAAAAGAGATTAATTAAGTTTCCAGCAAAACAGAATTAAGACAAAACTAAAAAAATATAACAGCGTGAGTTAGACATGAAACATGAACAATTTCTTCTACCATCTGTGTTGACTAGAAATGAGACTTC